GATCAAGGCTAAGTAAGCTGCTTCCTCTCAGCTCTGAATGGCATAAGTACCTGAGCAGCCTTGGTTCCTGAAAGCACCTTTATAGCAGCTCATGGGCCGCAGGACGCTTCCAATGTCATCCATCAGGAAGATGCTTGCATCTGTCAGGATGAGGCTTCTGCTAAAAACAGGGGTGATATGAGCTGATGGCGGGATGGGGCTGACCTCGCTTCGGTCAAATGCCACAGCAGGACACAGAGCGCTGCTTCTGACGAGCCTCGCCGTCGCTGGAAGGTTGGCGTCACAATTGATGGATGCTTTAGGCTGAAGTGAGATGGGCTCCAGAGTCAGCCGTCTCAGTGCTGCGATCTAATCGGTTACCCATCATGCATCCTGGCTCACTAATGAAAAGGCAAGCTCTATCCATCATAGGCAGCCATAGTAAATGGAGTTTCTACCCTCCCATCTCCTCGTTGGTGCGAACCTCACCAGACTAGTGAAAAAAGGCCTAAATGATGGAAAGTGATTTTTCCAAAGATTTCACAGCAAAAGCAAATGAACACAAAGTAAAGAACAACAATCAGCAGAGACGAGGCTTCCTGTGTGAAATCCCAGCGATGAATGATCCTCTGTTTTGCCTCCATTTTGGCTCCCAGAGGTTCCATTATTGATGTCCAACATAGAAGCATCGCAGCGTCTGACCAAAGCAAACATCTGAACGGTTTTTAGTTTGGAGAGAGACTCTATCACTTTCTAGATTTGCTTATTTGTTATAGAACAAGAGGTTGTTTTTTATAGCAACATCCAGAACGATGCAAAAGTTTGAATCTTTGTCAGTTTGCTCTCAGATATAATCTTAGAAATTCAGTCTGCAGTAATCAGTCAATTGTCACTAAAACAGCGTTTAATTGCATCAAAATGTGAAACAGGTGATATATCTGATACCAGGATTATATTGTGGAGTTCATTGTGGATTTTCCTAAACATGATTTCTATTCTGAAAATATTCATGAATGAATTTTCCACTTTACTGGACAGTAAAGCTCAGAAACCTCTAAATGATTTTCCATCTTCCCAGCAGCAAACAGGCTTCACTCTCCTGTGATGATTGAATTATGTTCAGGTCCACTAGGTGGCGATCATGACTTCATGTGAAATCATAAAAGCAAATCTTTGTGAAGCACCTATGAGAAACCTGGGCGATGAAAAAGGATCTTCAATAAATAAAAGACGCCCGGTCATTGTCAAAGCTGTCCATGGTGCTGAAACGTCATCACCTGTAAGGTCATTTGTTGATTAGACATCGACCTGAAATAACATCTTTAGTTTGTCCTGCTCAGAGTGGGACCTTTCCTCATAGCGCAGCTGAACATTCAGGCGATTTACTCGGTCCTTTAAAGTTTGCATTCAAATCTTAGATCTTTTACGGTGACGCTCTGACCTTAGAAATGAAGCATTCCAGAGATCGGAGCTCTTTCAGATCAATCTGTTAGAGCCCCAGCTCTGATGTTTGTACCATTTGCTCGACCCTGTTGGTTGAAGTATTAAAATATTTTTGATTAAAGGTTCTAGTTGTTTATTACATTATTACATTGAGAGTTTGCTTCCTGATCCCTTTGCCTTTTTAACATATATGCAGAGCAGATCATGATCAGTTTGATCTCATCGTTACAGAATGGAATTTAAATTCCTAGAAAAGTTAAAAAACAAACTACTTTTTTTATTGTTTTACTTTTTGGTGGCGACCATGTGCTGACTGAGAGAGCCTGCATCTGCCGGTGGGTCACAGTGAGAAACGGCAAACATAGAATCAGGAATGACGGATTCATTCATTCCTGATTCATTCAGACTGAATTTTGTTTTCACTGAAATTAAAAACCATCAATGAAGAAAAGTGACCAACCTGATTAAAAAAAACCCAGAAGAAGAACTGAAAGGCCACCATTTCTTCTGTACCAGTTGTCTATTTCCACTAAGCTGATCTCTGTCTTCCCTGTTTACAAACTTTTTTTTCATTTGCATTTGTTTTTCTGTGAAGGTCTAAATTCTTTCTTTCTTTTGATTTTTTGTTTTTTTTTACAGTGTCCTTTCTGGCAATGTGGCAAAAAGAATAATTGTCTTGATTCCAAAAAGAGCCCAACAGATTTTGCTTTCACAAGTGGAGCAGTACGGCTATCGCCATAGTGTTCCGCTTGATTTATGAAATTAAATAGCTTTATTATAATTATGCAGGGAGTTTTACAGATTATATGGACACTGCAATGGAAGTAGAACAGGAAAGGTGTCACGATTTGGTTATGGTTAGTTGACCCAAAAGCGGAGGCAGGGAGACAGAGGTGAATTTCTTGTGGATTTAAAAAATGAGTTTACTGAAAACAGAGAGAGTTGATCCAAAAATCCAAAAAGAAAACAAAGTCCAAACTAACATGAAACCAGGAGTCCAAAAATCAAAACATGAAAACTAAATGTACCAGAAACCAAGGAGACATCAGGGGAATCACTATCAACAGGAGGAAGGCTCAGAGAGAAGGAGTCGGAGCATGTTTGATGAGGAAGCAGCACTAAAGAACTGCACAGAGAGAGTATTTATGGGAGACTGAAACAAAGGGAGAGCTAACAAGCAGATTAGGAGCAGGTGTGAACAGAACAGAAACAAGAAAGGGAAAAAAGGCGAACTCAAGAGGGCAACAAATAAAAACCTGAGAACTGAAAATAACCAGAAAACACAACAAAATAAGAATTAAACCACTAAGACTATAAAACATGGAGTAAAACAAAACTGAACACTCAAAAAAAAAAAAAAACAGAAC